AGTGGCTTATCTATAACTTCTATATAAAAATAATACTATATTAGGATCTTATCCCATATTATAAGAGAGGTAAAATATATATAGCGGCCTATAGTAGACCTAACTATAATTAATAAAATAAATATTTCGTATATATTAATAGGTATTTTAGATTACAAATATATAGTAGTTCTATTAGATGGAAGGATAACTATAATACTAAACGAAGCTATATATATTATAGTCTAATTATTAGTATATAACTAGTTATATAAAGCCTTATAAAGGAAGGTCTTACTAATACTACTAGCGCTCTATAGAAAAAAGGAGATAATCTTTAGCTATTTAGAAATTATAGTTATAATAATATTAAATATAGATCGCTAGCCCTTATTAAGCTAGCTATAAGTATTATTAGCTTTATTATTATATTAAATAGTATTAAATAGATTAACTATAGATAAAACGTTAGTAGAGTTATAAATAGTTAGCTAGAGTATAGTATAAGTAGATAGATTAAAGTTCGAAAAATATTTACTACCCTTAGCTAATATATCCTCTATTAGAAATAGGTTATAATTAAGAATAATATTATCTATAATTTTAAAATAAGTATAGCTACCCTCTATACTCTACTATAAATAATAATATAAGTTATTATAGAAGTACTAGCTATACTTTAACTAAAGCTCTAAAGAATTACTAATATTATAGTTTAGTAATATAACTATAAAAAGAGAATATAACGAACTTCTGGAAGTAAAAATAATTATAGAGTTAAATATTTTAAACTACTCTTTATTATCTTTAAGTAAGCTACAAGTAAAGTAGATAACTTAAAATATTAGATATAGAATACCTTTATAGTAATATAAGTCTTTAAAACTTATTAGAACCAGAATATAGATAAGTAATATATATAAAAAGAATTATTCTCCCTAATTTAAATTATAGTAGTAAATATAGCTAATTACTATACCTTTTTAATATAGCTACTACGCTTATATCTAGACCTTCTATATAAAGTAAATTAAATACTTTAAGTAAAAATATAAACTATTAGGGGAATTAGTAGTATTATAGATAAAGAAAATTATTAGTTTAAACTACTAAGTCTTTATATAGCTATATATCTATTATAATATTATACTATCTTTAAAATATATAGGCTATTTATTTAGTAGGTAGATAGAAAGAGGCTCTACTAGTAGATATTTCTAGTAGTATAGAAATTCTAATATTTACTAAATAGCCTCTATAGGGTTAATATAGTAAGCTTATAGATATAACTTGATTTTATTATTTGTTTCTTATATCTATAAATATATTCTATTTAGCCCTTTATAGATATATTTATTTGGATATTTAATAGCTTTAATTATAAAATAGACTTTAATATTAATATAGACTCAATAATACTGGATTAAATATAGATTATAAGGGATAACTTAGTGATTATTAATTATTATTTATAGATTATTTATAATCTTAGTAAAATCTATAGAGTAATTAGCTTAATATTTATATTAGAGGTAATTATTATATTCGACTATAGTTTTATTATAGAACTCCTTTAAGAACTACTTTAAATATTATAGCTCGCTAGTATTATCTATATATTTTATATAAATATTTTATAGATTATAAATACTATATAGATTATAGAGTAAGAATATTTTAATATTATTCTATAACTACCTAGGCTTCTTAGGTATTTTAGTAGAGATATATTAATTAATATAGATAGAGTCTATAAAATATTTATAATCTATAAGCCAAACTAATAAATATATATATAGAAATCTGTACTTCTAATATTTTATAATTTAGATTTTGATATAGTAGGTACTAAAGACTTTACTAGTTTTAATCTTCTATAGTAGTATTTTTATATTTATATAAAATATATAAACGATAATATTTAGATAATTTATAGTAGTTTAGCTAGAGTATAATTTATAGCTAACTTCCTCCTAAAATAGATTAATTATAAATATAATAAATAGTATAAGCTTATTAAAGTAAGTTATAATTATTATTAAGTCCTAGAATAATTAATATATATATTAAGTACTACCTATATAGGATAAAGGTAAAATAATATAGTAACTAAATTATATAGTATTATTAGCTATATTATTTAAGGTATCTATAGGGCTATTATAAAGGTCTATATAAATCTTATTCTAGTAGCTATATAGCTATATAAGTTAGTTACTATTAATTATAGCTTAGATATCTACTAAGTACTACTATAATAAATAATTAGTATATAGTAGCGTATTAAAATAATATAAATAGTAGTAAATATAGTATATATAATATATATGATATATTAAGTAGATATATTTATAGTCTGAATTTTCTATATTTAATTATAATTTATTATACTAGCCTAGATCCCTATAAAGGAAAAGTAATATATAGTATAGAGATAAATATAGTAGGTTATAGATATTAATATATTAAAGGCTACCATTCTATAAGGTTAGTATAATAGAATATAGCTAGATATTATAGTTTTTAGGTATCTCTTTAATAATTATAGTAATTTTAGAAGTAGTTAATAAATTTTTAGTATAGGGGTTTACGCTAGCCTCTAAATATAAAGTAAATTAGAGCTTAGTATAAATATTTTTACTAGACTATAATATCTAAAAAGCCGACTTATAAAGATAAATATATAGGTTTACCTAAAGTCTATAAGTTAGTAGATAGTTATAGTATAGAAATATAGAAAAAGTAACTTTATAGAGCGAGCTATAAATAATAGTTAAAGTTAGATAAAGTAGACTAAATTCTAGATTATTATAGTTATTAAAATTATACTATAAATTATAGATCCAAATCTAGGTAAAGATTAGAGTAGCGCTAGCTTCTAACTATAAAGAGACCTATAAGTAGTAGAGTTCTCACTATATCTAGAAAGGAATAATATCTATAGGTATATTTTATAGTTAAGAATTTATTAAATTATAACTAATAGATATAAATATAAGAAATTTATTATAATAGCGAATTCTATCGTAGAACTACTTAGCTATATTATTTTTAATAAATATAAATAGATAGTAGAGCTTAAGTAGTAGATTATAAATATTAAATAATCAAATACTATCTATAAGGTAGTAAATATTAAATACTAGAGTAGATATAGAAGAAGATATTATATACTTAACTAACTAATATAATATACTATAATATATATAAGATATATTTATATAATTAATTACTAGCGGAGTATATATTATAGAGTAAAAAAAGGAAGTAGTAAAGTATATAATATTAGAATTATAATATATAGAGTAGTAATATAGTAGTCTCTCTTTATTATTATAGAATTTATCTATAGATAGTATATATTTATAGAGGGAGTAGGTCTTTATTATACTAGCAGGTATACTAGATAACTACTATAGTAGTTACTCTAGTTAGTACTCCAATTATATTATTCGAGTAGAATATTCTATAGCCTAATAGTTACTATAGATATTATAGATTTAGTAAACTTAGCTATTATATATAAAATTAGTAGTAGAAATATCATAGTAGTAAATTAAGTAGCCTTATAGATCTAATAATAAAAGTAAGTAAGTATAATTATAATACTAGTGGTATAACTCCCTATAAGTATTATAGATAAGTAAATTTCTTCGACTAGAATAAAAATTACTAATTAACTATATAAAATAGTAGAAATAGTAGAGTTATAGACTTATAGATATATCTATAATATAATGAATATTATAAATAAAATATAAAGATTATAATAAATAATATAAAGGCCGCGAAGCTATAGATATAGATACTATTTAGAAAAAAAATATATAGAAGTAATAGTAAAATAATAAAAAAAGGAGTAGCTATACTAGAAAAAAGAAAATCTAGATTATATAAACGTCAAAATTTACAAATATATTATTTTATTATATTAGTGGGATTAAATTACTTACTATTACTAATATAGAGTATTAAGATTATATTATTACTATTATTTATAGTATCTAGAGAGATATATTAAAGCTAATATTTAATTAGTATATTAAATATAGAATATATTATTATTACTACTTCTTTTATTACTTTACTTAGGTATTTATTAGCTAATTAATAAGTATTATTCTATAAATAAATAATTATAGAATAATCTACTATTTTATAATCTATTATTATTATTTATTTTAATATCTATTTATTAGTCTTTCTAGTATTTAGCTAGACGTCGAGGTATTTATTTACTACTCTATTGTGCTCAGGAGCTCAGGTCACGTGATGTTCCTTCGAGCTTCCGAGAAAAAATCGCTGGATAGCAATCCGTTTCTCATACACAAAGCTATGCATCTACCTACCTAGCATTTTTGGCGCTTATGTCTCTATGAAATAAAGAAATTTTATGGGCTGCTACAACAATATAAATATATAATTCCATATATTATGTTTATACCCCTTTGAGTCCTTGGCTTGATCATTATAAAGACGCATTACCACCCATGATAGCACATAGAAGTAGTTTCAACTACTACTTATTGTGGGTGATATAAATACCCTTCACTTAGATATCTGCATAGTTAGATATCTCTCCCTTTCTTGCATATGTCTCTATATAGGAGGATCTATCTACCAACACAGGCCAGATCACTGATAATGCAGGAGCCAGTTGATTTATCAACATCAATATATGCTGCAAATATGCCAGCCTACACACTGCTTATCTTAAACTGTTATCTGTCTGTTCATTGTATATAGCCTCCTTCTATATTACAGCGCTTACCCCTTGCTTAGTCGTAGTGCGGCTTTGGATGCTACGGTTCTCTGTTGCCCCTTCCCCAAAATGGAAGAAAGGACGCCTGGTGAAAATTTTTCTCACCACAACCCAACCTCTCTTCTATTCCACTGCATGTTGCCCTCATTTTCATTCCTTAGACCTTCATATTGTATGCTATTCCTTCGTTTTGTTTTACTGTCTATGCTTGCTGTGTTTTTGTCCTTCATTTTTACACGTCGATATTACGCGAAAAGCCATGGAATCCACGGAATCCCTCGATGCCGTGGTGGACTTTCCACTGGACATTGACTGTGCATTGTCTGAATTGTTTCGAAATGACCCTGAAAATGAACCGCAGGGCGAACCCCCAGCTGAGGCAGACGGTAGACGACGTTCGACGGAATCCAATGATTCTGTGGCTCCCGTTAGCCAGGATGGCTATAGCTTCAAGAAATGGATGAGGAGTGTCCGTAATAACGGAACTGATGTACAGATCCCTCGAAACTTTGTCCTAAACTGGCCTAACGGGAATACGGAGGAGCAAAGCTATATCAAATATCCTGACAACGAGCCAGATTGCCCCCCAGATGAGGGTTCTGACTGCTCGTCTGGCCTTATAAACAACATAGAAACTGCAAGTTTTAGCCAGGCAACATTGAGTGTAGCCAACGGAGCACGTACAAACACGGTGACTAGTACTATGTATAGCACCAGCGTGTTCTCTAGTTCCGAAGCAGCAAGAGCATCTCTTGAGAGCAACCGGTTGACTAGATCAGTCTCTTGCGATGAGGCTGCTTGGAACCGCGCTGTCCAGAGACGTCAGATTCTTCAAGAATTGCTAGGCACTGAAGCCGTCTATGTGTCTGGATTACGAGCCCTAGGAGATGTAAGTGATTTCCCAGAAATAATACTCTATACACTCTAGCTGAACACGTCCATTTATAAGGTAGTAATAGCCCCGATAAAAACTCAGACTGGACTGGGACGATGCGTGGGAACATTGCTGAGGTTGCACAGCACATTTCTTGACGCACTTCGAGCTGCCATCCCACGTGTTCCCACCGCTGCCTTTGCGGCATCTATGAAATGGATGGCAAAGAAGAAAACATCGAAAAAGTCTAGCACTGACGTCCATCGCAAATCAGTGACCAGTCGGAGGATGCGTGAATCTGTCGAGCACCGGATTAAGTCGTGCAAGAACATTGCTGCAGAACCTAACGAAGTACAGAAGGTAGCTGAAATTTTGATGTCGAAGGTAAGCTAGATCGAATTAATACTTTCTGGGTTTCTAGACCTACTTAAAACTAAATCCATCCTCCAACTAGCTCCCAAAGTTCAAGGTTTACGAGGAGTATGGCATCAAGTACCCTTTGGTGTTGCAGGAAGTTGAGAAGCTCCGGAAAACCGTTGACTTTGAGGTCTGGGATAATGGTACTGAAGCACTTTCTCGATCATTGGCGCCCATAGAGTGCAAGGAGCTGAGCCCGAATCAAGCACTTACCATCGGTGACCTGCTTGCCAAGGTGAGAACAACTTCAAACCCTAAACTCACGAGAACAGTCAAGTTCTAACCAGCTTCGGTAATAGCCAATTCAAAGGGTGTGCAAGTACCAATTGTTTTTGTCAGATTTACTGAAATGCACGCCATCCTCCGATTGTCCGGCAGCTCACGAAGCTCTTGAGAAGGTTTATCAATGCATGATTGATACAGTCCAGGAGATCAATCGAGCAACTGGGGACCCTGTAGCCAAGGATCGCCTGGCAAAGACGTTACTCCTTCGTAACCAGCTTGACTTCACAGGTTTTGTAGGTTAATTACCTAGTTCCATTTGACTACCAAATTAACATTATCTTAGGGCCGAGAGAGGGATATTCTTCGTGATTTTGGTCCTCTCAAAGTCTGCGGTGTTCTGCATATTACATACGAGACTACGGAGTCTATTGTAGGGGAGTATATGGCTTGCGCTCTCTTTGCTTCACATATCATCCTAGCTGTTCCTCGAGCCGAAACTCGTAAATTCGGCGTACTGGCCATTATCGCTACAACCCGGGCAAAGGTCGAGAACGTTAATGAGAAACCAGGTTTGCTCATTCCATGCTCCAAAACCTATCTAAAAAATCACGATGCTAATGCCTGAGCAGGCTTGCAATGTACGAGAACACCTCATTCCTGGAAGCTGCTATATGTTGCCAGCGGCGATACCTTTGAGCTCGTCATGACCGCGTGCTCTCCCAAGGAGGCTGATCAGTGGAAGGACCAGCTCCTGCTGAACATAGCCCCGGAAATCACGGTGGACACCCCTAGGATTGGAACGAGAGTTATGTTCCCAATTAAAAGACGGCCCGTGATAACGATCAACGAAACCGGTAATATGGTTCAGCCCATCTGCAGACTAGTCCGTATCAAAGGGACAGAGGCCGCCCCGCGGCGGGATCCCACCCCGAGCGTGTCACCGTCACGGCCCCAAACCCTCCTGATGACCCCAATGGAAACCTTAACTCCGAATCGTCAGGCCAGAGTGCGCATGGAGAGGTGGCTATCTGATATTTGGACTTGTGATATCATCCCATACCCAGGAATGCCAGGCCGCGGTGGACAGTTCATCCGAGCTCAGGCTGGCTCGTTCTTTCGGAGCCTCAGTAGCCGCCGCCCATTCTCCCGCCGTGGAAGCAGCATCGCATCTGCTACGACCCAGTCAATTGCCTCTAATTCAAAGAGCGGTGCTGCTGAGGAGACGAACACGACAGCACCCACCAGTCCTATCTCCAAGCATAGCACTCGGGAGTTCGATGAAACAATTGACGCGAATGTACAATCGAGAAGCTCTTCACCAGGATGCACAGCCTTGCCACAGATCAAGTCTGATGCTGATGAGATGGTGCAGCACGAAGCTCTCGAGAAACGTGCCAAATACAAGGAGAGGACCAAGATGGACAAACGTACCAGATGGGGTGTCTCGATTTTTACAGCTCCCGGCCGCTCTCGTCGTAACAGACTAGTTGAAGTGTAAGTATCATCATTCCCTTGCCAGACACAAGGAGACGGGGGATTTGGAGGAGTTCCTTTGCGCGTTCTTCCCAATAGCTAGCATGCTTCTTTGTAACTAGTCCCTATCCGTACTTAGGGAGACGATTCCAGAGACATCTTCTAGTTATATCAACAATGCAAGCTGCAGTTCCGCTCGTTACCGCCTATAATACTCCCTTGTCAGCTCCGTTCCTGTGCCTCGTGGAGCTGAGTGACGCTATCTCCCGTGCAGATCAAGTAGGCTCCGAATCTGATAGAAGAACTGGAAGCCGAAAAGGGGAAGGAGAGGCGTGACGTCACACGTGACCAGGGATGACTAGTTAAACGCCAAGACTCAGGGCCCGCTATGACGTTGGTCGAAGCAGTGACAAGCAACACAGGCGGGAAGCCGGACGGCGACGATGTACACCCTATTATTTGCAGCGCATAGCACCAGCAGGAGCCGGCGATGGGGACGCGCAAGAGAATTGTGGGCTGGCTCAGACATAAATAGAGACGCCGCTGCACTCCCTAGAAGTACAGCATCACCTCGGTCTTTGCCCAATTGCCTATATAACCATTCGTCAAAACACCTGCATCTACATCTATCTACATATACATACCACTTGACAACCCGGATATCTAGACTCTTATACTTTCAGCAGCTAGCCACACACACGCTTTGCCTTCTCAGCCTTCTACCCCGCCAATCTATAACTACTTAAGCTCCCTACTCGGCCATTAAAGTCATTCCGGGCCTATCCATTGAACCAGAAGGACGTACGGTACAGACACAATATAGCAACCATGGCTCGCGGAAACGTCGGAGTTTACAAGGTCTTCTACAAGGGAGAGACGGATGATTTCGTCGTCTACGTTGATGATGTTGCCAGCGTGAAGCAGTGGAGGAAAGACAAGACCGTTCCTCTAGCTCAAGTGGTCAGTGGGTGGAAGATATTCATCACTCACAGGTATGTTGCGTTGAGTCTCCTGCTTATTGATATGAGGCCTGTTCCTTGACATCTAACTTATTCTATTTTAGACATGGTGCACAAGGAATCCATGATGGAGCCAGCAAGGCAACACTGTCGAATGAGTTCGGAACATCGGATGAGGTGGAATGTATTACCAAGATACTGGAGAAGGGAGATCTGCAAGAATCAGAGGTACGGCATTCTTGCTACCTATTCCTCGTTCATGTTGTACATCTACTAACTTGGCCGTCGAATAGAACACCGAAAGGAACGGCTCGACGAACGACTCTAAGGGCGGCTTGTTGGGTCGATAGATGGAATTGACTGTATGACTGGCCAAGCTGCAGGAGCCTCTATCGAGGACACAGCTTCGGAGGATATACAATGTATTAAATTACTGTAGGACCTGGTTATCTTTACGGTACCTGTTTAGGGTCTGGTTCAGGCATATTTCACTTGGGTATGGAAGGAGAGTCGGATTGGCATGGCTCTAATCGTTGCTATTGGCTTACGACCTTGTATACCTTAACAAGTCAATATGTAATGAGGTGCTCTTACGTCTGAAATATTATCATATTCTAGGCAGCGGTTTACGACAGGCCTTATAACCGAAAGAAAAGAAACGGGTATACATTCAGTAAGATAAAAGCGCTAAAATCCATAAAAGCTGTACAAAATACCGCACGGCAAAGACAAAAAAATGCAAACCAAGGTATTCGAGCCGGGGCTTTAAAATTTATACTCTAATTAATAAAACGGAAATAAAAATATGTCTTCCATGAAAACATAGAGACAGAATGGGTATATGAGAGTGCATTTTTAGTAAAAACAGGCAAGCGAGCCAGAGCTAGAAGTGTTCTTTCCAGAACTTGAACTTGACTTCTTTGCTTGTACATTCCTTCGCTGCCTTTTTAACCTGCTTGGCCGCCTGGTTCGGACCGCAGAAGTAGACTCCAACATCAGCCCGACGCGTTGCCTCAAGGTTGGACATGTATGTACGATCCATGATACTGGCACGCAACGCACGGAAGAACCGAGCAAAGTCCGGACGGCCGAATTTGGTGCCTGTTCTTAGTTCCGTAAGAGGATCAAGTTCCTGACCTACGGAGTTGAGGTAGATGTTGGCAGCTGTGTCTTGGTCGAACCGTTGGGTAAGGTAAGTGTGTATGCGAAGGAACTCCTGGCCTGAACGAGCTTCTTCTGCGGATTGAGCTTCCAGGGAGGAGAGGAGAGCTTGGAACCATTCAAATGAGCTGGTATCTTTGCAAATCCAGATGAATTCAACTCGACGGAGACGGGTTGGAGGGTTAGGTCCGGCCCGGTAGTGCCAGATATCCTTTAAGATGGATGCCCAGGGGGTAACCCCGATGCCTGTGCCGATGAGGATGGCAACATCATTGCTAAACACGTCTTCTGCAGGAGCTCCGTAGGGGCCATCGATGCGGATTTGCGGCATGGTCTGGCCATTCTGCATGGCAATCTCGTACATGCCAAGAGGATCGAGGCCGTCGATGTCTTTCGCTTGCTCGGGACCGCAACCAAGCCGGTTGCCGAGTTCACGGGTGAAATCTCCTACCTGTCTGATGTGGATGCTTATGTAGGGATCATGAGGGCACGATGTGATGGTGAATGGATGCCACTGTGTTCGAGAGACATCTGGTACTTGAAGGAAGAGCCACTGTCCAGGCTTGTACCGCAAGCTGGGCTTACGGAATTGGATTTCCATGGCATCTGTCCATTAAACGTTAGTAATTTAGTATGCAAGAGGTGCATGTATAGGGGTCCACTAACCGTATGGATGTCGAACAACCTTGACAATTTCAGTATCCCTCGCAGCTCGGATCTCTCGATAGAGTCTTTCAATGAGGTAGAGGCCACCGCCCCAAAGTTCCCACCTCCATCCCTCATAGCCAATACAATGATCCCAGAATCTCTTGCCTGCAAATGGAGAGATGGGGTCGGGTGTGTCTCTCACAAAGCACCCAGTGGCATGTGTGTATAAAGCCAGCAGGAACGGGATGAAGAGGTGATGCGTGTACCAGAAAGTCTCGTACGACTGCTGCCTAATTCTGTGATGCGACGTGGTATACATTAACAGCATACAGAGAAGCATTACGTGGCCGGTGATTCCAGCAGCTTGGGTATAATGAATTTGAACAGCCGCTTCCGGGCGTGTCTGGTACCGCTCGATGTTGAAAAAGCTGTTTGAACATTTCATTAGAAACCGACTTGTTGGTAATTTTGCAGGGCTGAAAACAGCAATCGTACTTACTTGACGTAATGTGCTACGACATGTATCACGCTGAAGATGAGCAGGGAGTACGCGATCTGCCGATGGAACCATTGGGCTTCATCGAGAGGAAGCCATTTCACCTTCGGTCTGACGTATCTGAGTAGCGTTCTGCACATGGGGAAAAGAATAAGGGCTGTATCTATCGAAAGAACAAACCCAGCACCCCGAGACATCCATACTGAGAAAGTGAGGGTGTTGAGGGTCGCCAGTCTTTGATCGGTAACTTGTTTCCACCTGGTTGAATCATGTCAGCTAAATGTGTCTCTACTTAATAATTTGATTGCTCAAAAATTAAGGTCCAGGGGAAATAAGGATAAGGTTTCGGCATACCATCCATAGGCAAAGAAGCCTATCTGGATCCCGTAAAAAATGAAGTAGAAGAATAATTTGGAAGGATTAAAATGCGACTTCCACCTGGAAGAAGACTTTTTCGTCATGATGGTCCGCTGAAGGCTGTCCGAAGCTCGGTTGGATCTCTGGAGAGTAGAGAGGAAGGGATAGATAGAAGATGCCAAAAGTAAATTCGTCAAAGGAAGGGGAATATGCAACTCTAGGAAAGACAAAAAGAACCAACAGAGAAACCGAATGCCGGAGAAAGCGGATAGATGGATAAAATGTAAGAAAATTCGTTAAATGAGGTCGTAATGTATGGAATACTCCGGTTCAAAGTGAAATTAGGTAGCCTGGTTCTGGTATGATCGCAGAGTCACAAAGGCGTAGGTTTTATTGCATTCGGAAAGTAGAACAAGCGCTTGGAGGACCAGTATATAGGATACGAGCCAATGGAAGCCCCGAGATATCCAGTACACCTACAACGGCAATGAATTGTCTGCGCACGACACCGTCAGGAGACAATGGACGGCGCCGTAGCCAGATACCCCAGTGCCGCAGCCGTGCTTCTCCGGGTGCTAGTGGACGAAGGCTCCTTTCCACGTCCTGTCCACTATAGCCCTATTGATATAATGCTGTGCTGGTGAAACGGGCCACTCCATGAATAACCTAGTGGCCAACGTCTAATAGCTGCACGTCGTTATGATCCGGTTCTGACGCTAGCCACCGCGGCCAGCGTCTAATCGGGCTTTTAATCCTGCTTCCTGTCTCGCCGGTTGCCTTGTGATTCCCCCGGGTTCCAAAAATAGGACGAGCGATCTTCCGCTGAAAATCGATTGGGAGTTCGCAAAAGTAACGGGTAACAAGTTATCCACGATGGATTGGTTGTTGATTCACAAATGACAAGACCTCCTCTGCCTTCTCTCACATCTCAAACATGCAGGGTTTCGGACGCGGCGTACGGAGGGTGCGGTAGGTAGGAATATGTACGGAGTACGGGAGCGGATTTGGATCTGGGGAGGTAGATGGACTGGACAGCAAGGAGGTTTTTGAGGTCGATGGTGGTATCCAAAGATAGTTATCTCTCGAACGTCGTTTGTTTTACATAAAACGAGGGTTCGATATTTGGTTCGATTTGGTGGTCCTCGAGAATGAGTATGTATGATACGCAAGCAGGAGAAGCGCCAACTGGCAAGGCGGTTAAAAGAAAAGAAAAATCGATTTGGCCCCCCCTGCGCATCAGGCCATGCTGAAACGCCAGAGTTGGTATAATTATCTGGTTCAGCCTGAGTTTGTTATCTGCTTCCCTCTTTGTCTGTTGGTTTATTGAGGGAAATAATCCCGTAGACGTTGTCGCTAAATGGCTCGTTGGAGGATTCTAATGCCTTGGGACCTTTCTTTGCTCCT